AAGTAACGACAACCTGGTCCCGACCTGCCGTCGTGTCGTCTACTACTTACTAAGACCAACGACGCACACGTTCGTTTCTTCTCTCTACCCTACCTCGTTTCTTACTCTCTCTCTCTCTCTCTCTCTCTCATCTCTAGTGTCATTACCTTTCAGCCCTTGTTCGTGACTGCGGTGCGAAAAATCGGTGTCCCTTAGGTGTGGTGGTTGATGATCTAAGAGTTGAGGAAGCTGCATTTAGGGGGAGGAAATTGCTTGGAACCACACTCACTATCCCACATGGCTATTCTGGTATTTCCTCCACTTCCATTCTCTTTTTCCCCTTTGTGTCATTTTATCATTTGGTTTGAACGGTTTTTTCTCTCTAGAGGTTGCTCTCTCTGATTTGTTTGTGTTAGAAACACCGTGAATCAGGAATGTAGACATAAGTTGAATCAATGAAATTTTGTGGAGAAAAATGCTCAAATTCAGAACTACATGAAATTTTTTTTTTTGAACTTAACACTGTCAGTTTTATTCGCTTGGTTTTGTAGTGTGAACCTGTTGTTCTGTTTGACTCGAGATGTTTCCAAGTTTGAGAGTTATTATTCCCATGTCAGTTGCTTGTTCTATAACTTGTTTCTCTTACATTTGGGGCTTGAAACATGAGAGATTCCTTACTTGATAGTTTGCTTTATCTGAATTCACTCTGGTTAAAAATTTCTCCCTTGGAGGCTAGATTCTTTTATTGTGGGCTTGTGGCCAAGAGTAAAGACAGCTAAATTTGTGTCTTATGCTTTTCAAATAGGCATATATGATGTGCCCAGTTAATGCTCAAGGGATTTTGACTTCCACCTTTTGTTTTTTTTTCTTTACCTTACTGAAAGCTGTGTTTGTAAAGTTTGACTCAAGTGACAGGGCACGAGCCCGAGTCAGACTGACTTGGCTGAGTCTCGACAACAAGATATCACTAGTCTATTAAAAAAAAAAACACAAAACCTAGTGAGAGTTGGCCAGTTTCCCAGGTCTGTATATGAGATTTGGCACCTTGCTAGGTCCATGTAACTTGGGGAGCCCAAGTCCGACTGGCTGGGTTTTAAAACATTGCTGAAAAGTTACATAGTCTGTTTCTTCTTTCCTTTGACTTTCTGAGGAAGTTGTAAATGAAAAAAGTGTAAATGTGAGTTGGAGTGAGAACTATATATTTCTTTGTTGGGAGGAAGTGTGTCTTTTTGGAAAATAGTTGCATGAGATTATGTGAGAGTCGATATTGGAAAGACAGGGCAAGAAACAGAAAGACAATTGCGAGAGAAGGAAAGAAAAGGTAAAACAGTGCACACATTGCTTTTCTTGAAGGGATGAACAAAATTGTTTTCATGAAGGAAGAAATGAACAAGAAATTCTTAATATGTATGGGTTGAGGGCTAGATAATAAATTAAACTAGAGTTAGGATTTGAGGTGAGAGAGATTTTTGTGAGAGGGAAAATAAAAAAACGCACTTGGGGTTAAGAGGGTTTCTTGGTGAGAGATCATTTGTAGCCTAGATTCAGTTTAAGAAAACAAGTTTTAAGTCACAAATATATCTCAATTTTGTGTGAATATATTCATGAGTTTCTTCATGTGATCCCTTTTTGATAGGAGAGAGTTTCAAACATAATCACATTGTATATTTTCATGTACAAGTAGTAAAATATTAATCACGACAGAAGCACAACTGAATAGATATTTGTACCGCACTATGATACTTAATACTACAGTTAACGTTTCTACAAAAGAAAGAACAACTGAAACAAAACAAATCTCTATGAGACTTATCTTCCTTACTAGTAAGGAATGTCAAATTTTGAGTGGCACCACGATGAGGTACATTATGACAAAGTGAAAGCTTTTTCTCTTTAAAGTGGACTTGCAACATTGTTTTGCATTTCCTTATGTGACTGATGGGCAAGTATTCACTATTTTCAAAGTAATTTGAAATTTAAAACTACTCATAGAATTGTTTGATTATGAGGGCCCAAGCCGTATTTTGTGGCATCACTCTTATGAATTCCTCTATTTGACTAAGGGGATGATGTTCGATACTTATTATCAGCTTGTGATTGTTTAAATTGTTAAAATCATCCAAATATTTGAAGACACAGTGAAAGAAGTGCTCCATATGTAAGAGTCAAAGACGTGGCCCTTTTGGTTTTGAGATTGTCATCTCATCTATGATTTCAAAGAATATGTGCAGGCTATGTCTTGGAAATGCATAATGGGCAGAAAGAGAAAGCTCCAAAGAATGAAGGAGAGTCGAATTGCTGGAAGGCACGTGCCACATTTCAAAACTTTACATATTGGAATCATGACAGCTTGCCTTCACAGGATGATGCATTTGTTCGTTGTTTCCATTGGTTTCCTGTAGCCAATGCTGTGAGTTCGTCTTAGCTTCATTTTCTAATAGTTCTTTACACTTTCCATTTCTGGAAATATCTCACACACACTCTCTCTCACCTTTCACTGTTCATGAATGCAGTTGCACAAGCCTGTTGAACCCGATGAGTTGGCTTCTGCTACTCGAGAAAGCCAAGTAGAGGGTGCACAAACATCCAAGGACAAGTGACTTATAACTACAGTAATTTCTTGCGTCAACTTTAAGCCTTGGGGTGTCTCATCGTATTTTTGCGACTTGGTATGCATGTTTCTATTTGTAGTTGGTAAATCATTATCATTGAAGTTCGTAAGTAAATTAACAGAATTTGTTGTTGTCTGCATGGAATTTTGAGATATAATTTTGTTGCTTTTATAATGAATGTTGGTTCTAGGAAGGGTTTTTATGGTAGCTTAGGTAACCCACACAGACGAGGTCAAGTTTCCAAAAGCTTCCTGAGTAATTTGTCTTTGGTCAAAAGGCTCCCTATCCGATGCTAGATTTGTGGATCCAAAGGACCATAGATGTCCGGATACATCAGTCAAAACTGGCTCCTCAGTCATATCCAATACTGCGGTTAAAATTGACACAGCCGTAGCTTGACTGCAGTTAAGAACCTCCACACCATGATCAAAACTCAAAACCGACACATGGTGAAGAGTCGAGAAGTACTTAAGTCAGTCCAACGGTTGTAACTCTCTTAAAGCAGCTTTCAATTCTTAACCATAGTACAAAATCTTAACTAAGCATTGAGCCAAAGTTAGGCTACAATTTTTACTTGAGAACTGAATCCTAACCCGAAGTAATGGTATTGAAGCAAGGGGTAGTTGAATCAGGTCTTTAACCATGATAAAAATAATAAGTTTTCAGCAGAATGCTTCAACCATCAATTTCGTTGGAAATTCGACTTAGTGGTCTTTATACTTTAACCCGGGAGGAAAAATTCATGATTTCATCTCTATGATCTGAATATAAACAAATATTTTAATCTTAGTATTGAGTATTATAAATAGTTGTTGAGGAAATCAAACTAAGATCCATTGAAATTCAACCTCATGGTTTCCTTTCTGTGGATCGCCAGCTGCACTAAATCTCGATTGAAACCCTCAATAAAACTCTGTTTTTTGTAGCTTTCAATAAAACTAAATCAAAACATATCAAATAAGATTAAAAATATAACTAAAAGCACAAATGAGAACATGTATGATAAAATTCAAAAGGAAAAGGTAGAAAATTTAGGAACCTTAACTAGTTTCTATATGGTAAAGAAAACTCATTTTTTTACCAAAGAAATGTTTTATTAAATGAAAGTAATATTCATTAAAGAAGATATTAAAGAAACATAGTTTTTGTACCGTAAAAGAGAAAATTTATGCAATATTTAACTAAGGAAGAAATATAATTAATAGAGATTGAATAGAGAAAGTAATGAATAGAATAAAAGAATTGAAGAGAATGGAGAAGAGGATAGAAATAAAAAGAGAATTAAAAGAAGAATAATAATGAACCTTAAAGGGGAATAGAATTATTAAAAAGGACATGGAAAAGCAAACTTTAAAGTAAAACAAAAAAAGGGGAAAAGCAAAGAAAATAAAAGAGAAAAAATTACCTAGCCGGGTCCACTGGCCCAACACTTGGAGTTTGGGCTTTCATTAGACTGATGGATTTTATCTTGGTCCTCTTCAACTTGAAAATAGCTTGGTTTGACTTGAATCTTGAAGTAGGCCTCTAGATCTAGTATTTTTCTTCTTTTGAGAGATTTTTTTTTGAAACTCAAAGCGTGTTTTTTTATACTTTACAGAGATTTTATAGAATTTTTTTTTTTTTTTTTTAAAATTCTTTTTCTTAGAGCCCTATCAATCTTACTGGAGATGTCTCAGAGTTTTAAGAGCTCTCTTTTTTAGAAGGCTCTTCTCTTGTAAGCTCCCTCAGAGTTATGGGAGTTCCTTTTAATTTTAGAGGTTCCTTGAAGCTTATGAGAGTTTTGGGATGTGATGATAAAGGATATCCTTAGGCAGCTAGGCATAGAAGGAATTAAGGGCTGGGATTTATATATAAATCTAATAAGAATCACATAAAGAACTAGTTTTGATTTAGGCAAATAATTTCTGTGTAGGATTAGATGGTCATTTTAAAAACTGTTTAGCATTTTAGTTATTACTTTCCAATCATAGATTGGATTCGAGTAATTTTTGAGTCATCTGAAAGCTTGTCAGATTCTCTATAATCTAGAAAGAAATTTAGCATAATTTGGCTGACTTTTGGATTCTAAAAGAATCAACTCAGGGTTTTTGAAGTGTTGGCCTGGTATTCAAGGCAGTTTCATTTAGTTATTAGATTGAAATAGGCATTGGATGACTAATGATTGGTAATTCCTGGGTTGAAGATCTAGATTTATAGTTAGGTACACCTAGAATCCTGTTCGCCAAGATAGGGTTTTACCGTTGTCCCTCTTTTGCACTCATGAGGTCCATCTGAGGTTAGATGAGCATCAAAGACGTAGACACCCTTAGAGAAGAAATATAACGATAGAAATAGAAAATATGAAGACAATATGAAAACTTGAAATTCTAATGTGCTGATGGTTTTGAGTACATTGACCGATTTTCAGGACACCTGAGACCTTAACTGCCACCAAAATTTCAAGACACCTAGACCCATTGTTTGGGGTATGATGGGCATGTACTTAGGAAGTACATGCATTGAATGTCATTGTTTGGCTTGTGCTTAGGATTTATGCCAAATCATCGACTTTAAGGCTTAAAAATTGAATTGGAGTGGAATGAAATTGAATGGAAGCTTTAAATTGGTTGAATAGTTGGATGTCCTTGTTCTTAAGGTTCTTCTAAAGATCGAAGCATTGAATAGGTATTTAACCAAATAACAGCATTGAATAGGTTCTGAATTTTATTGGTTGAGTTCTCCCTTTTTCACGCTAAAATCAAGCGTCTCTTCAAGATTGAATTAAACTTTAGGTTGAAGATGAATTATGTCATCAGTTGCAGGCTACTGGTCCAACTCTTTCGTTTCCTAAAATAATTTGAAAAAATGTTTGAGATTGAGGGAAATTTTTTTAAAGATACTAGTTGTTCTTTTTTTTGTGGGTGTGTTGGGGGGGGGGGGTAAACTGGCGACATGATACAATTTTAAAACAAAAATTGACTTTTTAAAGAAATAGAGCAGGGAATCCAGCAATGCATTTGAAATCCAAGTTGAGATTGACCCAAAATGGAACTCGAAATTGAATTTGAATTTGAAAACACAAAATTGTTTTTGGAATTGAAACTTGGACAATTGACATTTTGGAAGTTAGCTGTTCAGACACATGCACATATGAAATGCCACATTAGTTTTCTGACATCTTGGTAAGATTAGGAGGTTAATTAGCTTCACTTCTCTTAATAGCTGCATGATACTATAATAACTAAGCAAATTTAAGTCATGCAGCTATGCGGGAGATTTTTTTTTTCAACAACCTTTAGGAAACTTTTTAAAATGTTGGGTAAATTTTCAAAAGAAAAAAAAAAAAATACTCAAACACAGATGGGCATTAAAGCTTTACCCACTAGTGGACTCTTTAGTGGGATAAAAATTTATTTGCTCAAGATCTAACATCGGAAGCTGATTTTCAAACCTACTTTGTGGCTTTTTTTGTTTTTGAGAAGTAATTTTGTTACCTTTTTATTCTCTCTCTCCCATATGGGAGGAGTCTTATAGTTTAACAACCTGTGACCCGTTTGATGGAGATTAAGGACTTGTCTTTGATCGGTTAGTATTTATCCCAACACTGCTTTCAAAAGTCGTCTCACTAGGTGGGCTAGGGATTTCTCGTTCTTGAAATTCAAAGGGAGGGGGTCAAAGTGCATTTGTAAAGTCGAGAAGCACTTCGGTTTGTTCAATGTTCAAAGTTCAAACTCCCTTAGAAAGCTTCCTTTAGTTCTTAACCGCAGTCAAAACTAACAACTAAGCAATAAGCCGAAATTAGAATACGATTTTGATGGAGAACTGAAGTTCTCACTGAAGCAAGGGATGGTTGAATTAGGTCCTTAACTGTCGTGAAAACAGGAATTTCTCAGAAGACTGCGGCCAAAATTTCAACTACTAATTTCATTGGAAATTCGACTTTGTGGAAACCACTGTGTGGCATCCCCAACATGTTTGCAGGAAACTCAACTTAGTGATAAATATCGAGAGCCATTCCCCGAATTTCTCGGTCTATCGAACACCTTCGCCAACACTCAAGTATCTACAAACAGGTCAACAAAAGCACAATAGTTTGAGCTGAATACTTTCAAAATCTATTTTGATTGCGATTCACATCGACTCAAATGCATGTTGATCCACTATCTTCCAGGTACTAAAGTGAAAATCTATACTTCCCCTACAACATAGACGATCTATGCTTCCCTTACCATCCAGCCATCCAATTTTGATCAAGAGAGCCACTCACTGTTTGATCTTAGATCCAACGTCTCAAAGCAGTTTTATTTTTAATTTTTTTTATAAAAATTGTATGAATATGAAATTTGGTACGTGTCATCTTCTCATTGGGGCACACCTATAAAATTATTAAAAATAATTTTTCGATAAAATATAGTGACCAAAATACCTCTTGAAACTTTCAGGGGTATTTTGGGCATTTTATTTTATTGGAAATATTTTTTTTTATATTTTTCGCTAGTGCAAGTTTAATAGAGGATTGGACACAAAATTTGGTGTAAAAATAGTTTATAGAAAAAAATTTAAAATAAAATAGTGTAGAGACATGACATTGTGATTAGGGCAATTTGAGCCCTCCATTCAAAATGGACGGTTGGATAAGGGGAAGTATATAAGTTTTATGCTGTAGGGGAAGCATAGAAAGCTTGCTTGGTACTAAATGCCCCTATTTGGGAACTACAAGATGCAAAAGAGTCTTGACCAATATACCTTTGAGATACATTTGAATCACATGAACCACTTGTTAAAGTTTTCTCGTAGTTGCAGTCTAGAGAAATTTTTCTGGGGAATACAATGTTCCTACACACCTACTAACTTGCCACAAATTGGTTTGGGTTACCAGCACAATTTTGAAGAAGTTACACTGAAAAAGATCGACTGAGAGGGAAATCAGCAAAACTGAGTAGAATGTGGTGGAAAATTGCAAGATTGTGGTCAATCTTTGTGGTATAAGTTGAAATTTCAGCATAGTTTCCCCTCTTGATTTTCTAGTGTTCGTCAAATGGCATTTATAGAAGAAGAGCCCTTCATTTTTCATCTGTTGTTGATGAAATGAATTGGATGGGGGAGTGGTTGAAAGTACTGAGAAAGTTGCCCCCCCACCGCGCCCCGCAAAATGTGTTAAAAAAGTACTATGAGGATCATTCATCGAGGGGTCATTAGACAGTTGTGAAAGATCAAGAGCTTGATGCACTATTAGTGGTTTGAAGCTAGGCAATGGTAAAAACCGGCAGATGGTGGTCAATTTTTGTGAGACACATGGTAGACCGTGGTTAAGTGTTTGGGCCTAATTTGTTGAGAAAAGGTTTTAAGATCAATTCCAAACTCAAACCCTAGTAGGGCCATCACTCTTTTCTACTAGCTGTTGCAGCCCATTAATCTTGTGTGTTGATCAGATGCTCAAGATCTGATTCATCACAGTTTAAAAGTCACTCTCAAAATTCATTTAAAGTTGGTTTGAAACGCAAAGAATGAAGAGTATATAAATTGTTAGCTTGTTAGTCTTGCTGGACCCCATACTTTGCAGTAAAAATGTGACTGAACGGGTCCTCTTCAAATGGCCTCTCTTTAAGATTCTCCCCACCCCCATCCCCATCCCCATCCCCGCCCTTCCCAAAACAAAAAACCCCCACCCCTAAATTAGAAAAAAAAGATGAAAAAGCCCTGCGAACCATGACCTTGTTCACGAATAAAATAAGCAATGAATGCCATTATATACTAGTTGATAGGCAACAGTGATCGAAAACCCCATACATCTCTATCAACTGAAACACTCTTTCAGTCCTGTATTATTTTTCAAAGCTTACAACAACACAGATTTGGCAGTCTTTAATGGCATTTTTAGGAAACAGGCAGAGTAAATCTGTGGAACCAGTGTTTTAAAAAACGCCGAGTCGAACCGGACTCGCCCTGTTCGACTCGGAAATCGCAAAAGTGGATCGAATCGATTGAAAAATCGGAAATCGTCCGGTTCTAGAGAGAACCGGACGATTCTGTACAGTGAATCGCCGATTCACTGTACGGAATCGGCGAGTCCAAACAGTGAATCGGTGAGTCCGTACGGATTATTTATTTATTTATTGATTTATTTATTGTAATCCATGATAGATTTTTTTGTAATACTTGATCGATTTTTTTGTAATCCATGATCGAATTGTTTTTGTTTTTTTGTAATCCATGATCGAATTTTTTGTTTTTTTGTAACCCATGATAGAATTTTTTGTAATCCATGATCGAATTTTTTGTAATCCATGATCGAAATGTTTGTTTTTTTTTCTTGTAATCCATGATCGAATTTTTTGTTTTGTTTTTT